ACTTAATCAACATATCTGTTATCGGACTGACGTCACCGATCAAGAAAGATCGTTGAGTAGCCGCTCTGTGGTAACCATGGACACCAACAGAGTAGAAGATGATGTTTGGGTTGCTTAGCAACAGTCTAGTGACAGTTAAATTGTGGAACTAGTTGAGTTGGTGAGAGTTTAAAGTTTGTATATAAACTCTGGATCATAACCTGTTCATGTGTTTCAGCTCTGTGAAGATTTCAGCCGCCGGACGCTCTGCGATGTTGATCAGTGTGTTAATGTGTGTGTGTTAATGTGTGTGTGTTAATGTGTGTGTGTTAATGTGTGTGTGTTTGTGTCTTTCAGGACTTGTTTGAACCAGCAGTCCCTCCGTCCCGTCCGTAGACGTGTCACAGCAGAGTGGAGGACGTCTTTCTAATTCTTCTTTAAAACCTTTTCTGTCTCTCTCTCTCTCGGTGGAGTTTTGGGTTTCCTCTCTCGCTGCCTCCCTCTGCTCTGGGTGCGTTTAGCTTGGTCTGGGTGCGTTTAGCTTGGTCTTGTCTGCTCTGGGTGCGTTTAGCTTGGTCTGGGTGCGTTTAGCTTGGTCTTGTCTGCTCTGGGTGCGTTTAGCTTGGGCTGGTTTGTTTTGGCACTCTCGGAGCGGGCGGACGGGGCTGTGAGGCTTTTTCTTGTTTTGGCTGCTGGTTGGAGGGTGTAGCTGTTTGTGGGAGGAGCTTAAGTGTTGACTGAAACTGAATCAGCTGTTTGGTGAAAGTAAATGTTCCTCTTCCTGACTTTCATGATCATCTTTTAAAATGTCACTGAAATGATTTGAAATCCTTCTGAAGCTGATTGCACCAACATGGAGAAAACCTTTGAACCTGCTCCTTTATCTTTCTTGGTTTGACGTCTCTGGATCCAGAGATGAAGGAGGTTATTTTACTTATAGCATGAAGACTCTAAGCGTGACTCACACACACACACACACACACACACACACACACACACACACGCTGCAGAGAGAGAACAGGTTTTTAAAACATTGATGAATACTTTTAATGTTTAAGTGTTTAACTATTAACTGTGTGAAAGAATAAAGATCCTCCTGTTGTGTTTGTTTTTAAAGACTTTAAAGTCGAGCTGCAGAAAATGTTGATCTAAAGCCCCGCTAAGTCCACAGAGCATTTTTTCTGGGCAGTAAAGCGCTCGAAGTGCTGCACATCCGTCCTGTCTCCATGACAACAGTCTGTTGATAACGCCAGCTGTATGACTGACACTGCTCCGTTTCTTTTTACTGCATGTTTTATATTTGAGATCGTTTATTTCCCGATCAGAAACGGAGCGAGGAGGACGAGGGGACAAGACAAAACTACGGGGAATATCAAACATGTTGAAAAGAGCGCCGGTGACGTCAACATCGCTTTTCTAAAAAGTTGAACGATTTTCAACTTGAGCTCTCAGAGTGGGAACACAAAAACAGCAGAGTCCTCGGAAAGAAGACACTGGGTGCTGCTCTTTCCCTCCAGGTGGACACCGTCTGCTGTGAACGCTCTCCACTCATTGAAAACAAATGAAAAAAGATGCTGGCGCTCAGAAAGAACCGCTCGGTGGACACGGGGCTTTAATCTTAAATCTGATGTTTTTGAGTTTGTGAATCTGTTGATTAAAACAGAAGATGTGATTAAAGTGCCAACATGAATCTCTTTAATAAACTGTCCTCATAAAAACCTTCACACTCTGAAGTCTGCAGCACATTTATATCTCTCATTATTTCTTCTGACTCTGGGATAGTTCAGGGTCAGTCTTTAACCTGGAACGTGGGACGGGTAAGACCGCTGGGGAGACAGCTCTCTATAATGTTTTGAATTTGGACTGCAGTACCCATTTTAAACACTAGGTGTCAGAGTTACATACTGCTCCTTTAACCAGCTGCTGACAATCTGAAGATGTTCCCTCCTGATCTTCAGCTGAATTATCGGACAGATGAAATAAACTGCAGTGTTTGACAGTGATGGGAGGTGATGAGTCTGATTGGCTGATAACTCAGATAATAGATTGTGTTACAGCCAATCAGACTCCTGCAAAAAGCGTATCATAATCTGTGATGTGAAGGATGCAGTATCTGTTTAGTGGTTTGTCCTTGAAACATGTGTTTATTACGGCTTGTTGTGTTTTCTCTCCCTGCGGTCTCGTTGTTTTTCTGGAGCTGATAAAAGAGAAACACATATTTACTATTGGTCTGATATCGAGCAGCTTCTCCGGCGTCTTTCAGCCTCTGAGGGTTTTTGTTTGCTGTGATCTGCGAAGAGTTTGACAGAAAAACAATAAACTCACTAGTTTGGGATTTGGGATTGAAGTCCTCGTTTTTCAGTCCAGGATGAGTCTGGAGCTGCTCGTCTCCTGGGCCGTCCCGCCGCCTCCTCTTCTTCTCTTTTCACTTCTCTCATTTATATTTCTGCTGAAAAATGACATTGGCTCCTGCAACAACAATAAATGATTCAGTTTAATTCCAAATGCTGTTTCAGGTTGTTTTTCTGTGAGCAGGAACAGCAGCAGATCTCCCAGGTCTCTGCAGCCCTCAGCTCACTCTCTGATTCATCAGGTTTACATTTTACTGAACACAGATCATCGTCTGTGTCTGCGACCCGTCAGGACGTCCATACTGTCGTTATGAAACACTTCCTATAAACGGCTTCATGTATTATTCTTATAGATCAGGAAGTGACCCCAGCGTGCAGCTCCTCATAACTGACAATTTACACAGTCTCAGTGAACGCCTCGGTCCGTCAGCGCTGCTACGCTGCTGTTCAAGGCCACTCTAGTCAATGCTCCTGTCTCCTCATGGAGCGCCACGGTCTGTCTCTGGAGCGCCACTACGCTCTGCTCTGTTACAGATACGCTGCAAGTGTGTTTTCGACGGAGCTCGCTGCAAGCTCTTGTAGTTCTCCTGTGATCTTGTAGTTCTCCTGTGATCTTGTAGTTCTCCTGTGATCTTGTAGTTCTCTTGTGATCTTGTAGTTCTCCTGTGATCTTGTAGTTCTCTTGTGATCTTGTAGTTCTCCTGTGATCTTGTAGTTCTCTTGTGATCTTGTAGTTCTCCTGTGATCTTGTAGTTCTCCTGTGATCTTGTAGTTCTCCTGTGATCTTGTAGTTCTCTTGTGATCTTGTAGTTCTCTTGTGATCTTGTAGTTCTCCTGTGATCTTGTAGTTCTCTTGTGATCTTGTAGTTCTCCTGTGATCTTGTAGTTCTCTTGTGATCTTGTAGTTCTCCTGTGATCTTGTAGTTCTCCTGTGATCTTGTAGTTCTCTTGTGATCTTGTAGTTCTCGTGATCTTGTAGTTCTCCTGTGATCTTGTAGTTCTCCTGTGATCTTGTAGTTCTCATGTGATCTTGTAGTTCTCTTGCGATCTTGTAGTTCTCCTGTGATCTTGTAGTTCTTCTGTGGTCTTGTAGTTCTCCTGTGATCTTGTTGTTCTCCTGTGATCTTGTAGTTCTCCTGTGATCTTGTAGTTCTTCTGTGATCTTGTAGTTTTTGTGATCTTGTAGTTCTCTTGTGATCTTGTAGTTCTCTTGTGATCTTGTAGTTCCTTTGTGATCTTGTAGTTCTCCTGTGATCTTGTAGTTCTCCTGTGATCTTGTAGTTCTCTTGTGATCTTGTAGTTCTCCTGTGATCTTGTAGTTCTCGTGATCTTGTAGTTCTCTAGTGATCTTGTAGTTCTCCTGTGATCTTGTAGTTCTCTTGTGATCTTGTAGTTCTCCTGTGATCTTGTAGTTCTCTTGTGATCTTGTAGTTCTCCTGTGATCTTGTAGTTCTCCTGTGATCTTGTAGTTCTCTTGTGATCTTGTAGTTCTCTTGTGATCTTGTAGTTCCTTTGTGATCTTGTAGTTCTCTTGTGATCTTGTAGTTCTCCTGTGATCTTGTAGTTCTCCTGTGATCTTTTAGTTCTCTTGTGATCTTGTAGTTCTCCTGTGATCTTGTAGTTCTCTTGTGATCTTGTAGTTCTTTTGTGATCTTGTAGTTCTCCTGTGATCTTGTAGTTCTCCTGTGATCTTGTAGTTCTCTTGTGATCTTGTAGTTCTTTTGTGATCTTGTAGTTCTCCTGTGATCTTGTAGTTCTGTTGTGATCTTGTAGTTCTCCTGTGATCTTGTAGTTCTCCTGTGATCTTGTAGTTCTCTTGTGATCTTGTAGTTCTCCTGTGATCTTGTAGTTCTCTTGTGATCTTGTAGTTCTCCTGTGATCTTGTAGTTCTCCTGTGATCTTGTAGTTCTCCTGTGATCTTGTAGTTCTCTTGTGATCTTGTAGTTCTCCTGTGATCTTGTAGTTCTCCTGTGATCTTGTAGTTCTCTTGTGATCTTGTAGTCCTTCTGTGATCTTGTAGTTCTCCTGTGATCTTGTAGTCCTTCTGTGATCTTGTAGTCCTTCTGTGATCTTGTAGTTCTCCTGTGATCTTGTAGTTCTCCTGTGATCTTGTAGTTCTCTTGTGATCTTGTAGTTCTCGTGATCTTGTAGTTCTCCTGTGATCTTGTAGTTCTCGTGATCTTGTAGTTCTCCTGTGATCTTGTTGTTCTCCTGTGATCTTGTAGTTCTCCTGTGATCTTGTAGTTCTCCTGTGATCTTGTAGTTCTCTTGTGATCTTGTAGTTCTCCTGTAATCTTGTAGTTCTCCTGTGATCTTGTAGTCCTTCTGTGATCTTGTAGTCCTTCTGTGATCTTGTAGTTCTCCTGTGATCTTGTAGTTCTCCTGTGATCTTGTAGTTCTCCTGTGATCTTGTAGTTCTTCTGTGATCTTGTAGTTTTTGTGATCTTGTAGTTCTCTTGTGATCTTGTAGTTCTCTTGTGATCTTGTAGTTCCTTTGTGATCTTGTAGTTCTCGTGATCTTGTAGTTCTCCTGTGATCTTGTAGTTCTCTTGTGATCTTGTAGTTCTCCTGTGATCTTGTAGTTCTCGTGATCTTGTAGTTCTCTTGTGATCTTGTAGTTCTCCTGTGATCTTGTAGTTCTCTTGTGATCTTGTAGTTCTCCTGTGATCTTGTAGTTCTCTTGTGATCTTGTAGTTCTCCTGTGATCTTGTAGTTCTCCTGTGATCTTGTAGTTCTCTTGTGATCTTGTAGTTCTCTTGTGATCTTGTAGTTCCTTTGTGATCTTGTAGTTCTCTTGTGATCTTGTAGTTCTCCTGTGATCTTGTAGTTCTCCTGTGATCTTTTAGTTCTCTTGTGATCTTGTAGTTCTCCTGTGATCTTGTAGTTCTCTTGTGATCTTGTAGTTCTTTTGTGATCTTGTAGTTCTCCTGTTATCTTGTAGTTCTCCTGTGATCTTGTAGTTCTGTTGTGATCTTGTAGTTCTCCTGTGATCTTGTAGTTCTTTTGTGATCTTGTAGTTCTCCTGTGATCTTGTAGTTCTCCTGTGATCTTGTAGTTCTGTTGTGATCTTGTAGTTCTCTTATGATGCATACTATGTGGAAATTGGCAGTTAAGAACAGGAATGGCCTCTTCCACACGCAGGCTAGATTTTTGAACACATACTGTAGCTTTTCTGTGCATGCTCGCTCGCTCTTTCATGCCTGAAGAATCAGCTGTGTGTGTCCTCTGCTGCTTGAAGGGTGATTGACAGCTCACTGAGGAGAAAAAGAGGAGACGTTTTAAACGATAAAAGATGAAGAGAGACAGAACAGCTCAGCAGTGTGTGTGTGTGTGAGAGATAGAGTTGTTCACCTCATCTGACACCATGCAAAACACACACACACTCTCTTTCTCTCTACATTTCTCTCTCTCTCTCTCTCTCTCTCTCTTTCTCTCCATCTCTCTCTCTTTCTCTCTCTCTCTCTCTCTCCATCTCTCTCTTTCTTTCTCTCTCTTTCTCTCTCTCTCTCTCTTTCTTTCTCTCTCTCCATCTCTCTCTTTCTTTCTCTCTCTTTCTCTCTCTCTCTCTCCATCTCTCTCTTTCTTTCTCTCTCTTTCTCTCTCTCTTTCTTTCTCTCTGTCTCTCTCTCTGTCTCTCTCTTTCTTTCTTTCTGTCTATCTCTCTCTCTTTCTTTCTGTCTCTCTCTCTCTCGCTCTCTCTTTCTTTCTGTCTCTCTCTCTCTCTCTCTCTTTCTTTCTTTCTGTCTCTCTTTCTTTCTGTCTCTCTCTCTCTGATGGATTCATCATTTCAGCTCTGTTTCTAAACTCTTCAGCTTCGTTTGAGTCTTAAGTTTTTAAACCCTCCAGTGTTTGAGCCGTAGTATTTCCCATCATGCTTCCTGTGTGAGGCTTTCAGACTGAAAGGTCATCAACATGAAGATTAGAAAATGAAACTCCTCAGAGGATGAACCTTTAAGTCTTTCAGATCCACGTCGTCTCTCCTCTTGTCCAGGTAATGCGCTTAAAATAAATAAATCCTCAGGTGTTCTTATGGTTGGAGCTTCTATTCATCCCGTCTGCGTGCGTGCGTGCGTTCAGTCTTTACTCAGTTCATCAGATCAGATGAAACTTGACGGAGCCGCAGGAGAAAGTGGGACTCTGCAGCAGACGGTCCCAGGACACAGACACACGGAGTAAAAATAGACAACAGACACAAACAAAACAAAGTCACAACATGACAACACAACAGATGGATGAGGGGGGGTAACCCACGGCAACAAAAAACAAACGTTCAGCTCTGAAAAGGTCACAAACTTTTCTTTAGCTGAAACCACATTTTAAATACTCAAATATATATATACTGCATACTGACCTGACCGTTAGTAAACATCATA